CACAATGGTAGTATTTCTCGACCTTAAGGCGGTATTCGACTCTGTTGATCATAAGGTTCTATGGCAGTGTTTGTCACCGAAAGGAGTACCAAAGAAGTACGTTAACCTTATACAGGCTCTCTACTCGAACACAACTAGTCGAGTGAGAGCTTATGGCGAACTGTCATCAGAAATGATAACATCAAGTGGTGTTCGTCAGGACTGTCCACTCTCTCCATTCTTGTTCAACTTTGTGGTCGACGTACTTTTAGAGATAACACTCTCCTCAACTAAATTTCCAGGGGTTGAACTTCTACCGGGAGGTTCACTTGTTGACTTAGAATATGCTGATGACATAGTTTTATTTGGTGAAGACGCTGACAAAATGCAGAGTCTTCTGACCACTCTAAGCAACAATACAAGCATGTTCGGGATGCGATTCTCTCTCGAAATGCAAATTGTTGCTTCAGGATTGGGTTACATCGACACCCGAACTAGTGATAGGGAGTGAAGTAGTTGAGAGTCTCGACCGCTTCACTTATCTATGAAGTCTCATCAGCCCTTGTGGTCTGGTGTGTGACAAAATCTCAGCACGGATACAGAAGGCTCGACTAGCTTTTGCCAACTTGCGTCATTTATGGCGTAGGCGAGATATCCGTCTATCAACCAAAGGACGTGTTTACTGCGCAGCAGTACGTCCCGTCCTACTTTATGGCAGTGAAACATGGCCGGTAAGAGTAGAGGATATTCGTAGGTTACTAGTATTCGATCATAGGTGTCTTCGAAACATTGCTCGTATATCATGGGACCATCGAGTAAGTAACACAGTTGTTAGGAAACGGGTACTAGGTAAATCAATTGAAGAAGTAGTAAAACTTCATCAGTTGAGATGGCTGGGACACGTGTTACGTATGCCCAACGACCGACTGCCTCGACGTGCGATGTTCAGTGGTATAGGAGTAGGTGGGAAGAAAACTAGGGGCGGCCAGACCAAAACATGGCACAAGTCCATGAAGTCACTGACAAGTGGTCTGAGTCACGTTGGTAAGTGTAGACTACCTGGTTGGGGACCGCGAGATGATAGCAACCGATGGAGACCCTGAATGACATGGCTCAAAATCGTTTACAATGGCGCAGGTGCATCCACTCTTTGTGTTCTCCCAAATTCTAATCTTCTGGATTGTTCATGTCCCTTTTTTCCTCTTTCCAAATTTATTTCACTGAATTATACTCTTTAAATAACATCTCCAAACCCTAATCTTCCCGATCACTGCTTACACTCTTGCTACCTCTACCACTACGGGATTTGGATCGACAACTGCATCTCTGTGTTAAGGTGGTGTGGCAACTCGAACTGATGTACGTACGTACAAAGTTCTACGTTGTTACTGACTGACTGACTGACTGACTATTTACTACGTCATTTACTCACTCTCTTTTATTCCCACTTTATGTACCCTTATTTCTCGGCTTATACAGCAGCTCGCCTATGGTGGAAATTCGGTTCTATCTAAACGTTCTCGAGTCGCTGCCTGGTTGAAAATTGTATGCTACCACCGAATACGAGTACTGAGGCAGTTTTTCTGAAACCACGTGCACAATTCAAACTGACTGCCTTCAACGTTCGTACACTTATGCAGGTCGGACAACAGATAGGGCTGGCCATATCTTCAGAAAGTCTCAATATCGATGTTTGATGTCTATCTGAAACACGTATTCAAGACTCTGGTGAAGTACTACAAATTCGCTCTCCATCTGTCGATTCGAAAAGCTTATTTTACGTGCGCTACAGCTGAGGCAGCGCTAATCGATTGGATCCAGATTAACAGTCGGTTATGTGCTGTTAGATTAGAGAGTTCCATCAAAGTGAGAAGAAATCGGCGCGAGAAACGATGTCTTTTCGTCATCTCCCCCTATGCCCCGACAGATTGCAACCCGGATGCAATCAAGGATGAATTTTACCGCCAGTTATCTGTTCTTCTCCAGAAAGTGCGTTCGACAGATATTGTAGTACTAGCAGGAGACTTGAATGCTCAGGTCGGGCGTCTAGGCACAGAAGAGAGTCGTTTAGGTGGCCGATGGGGACTCGTTGGTCGCAGGACAGATAACGGGGACTGTCTACTGAAAATGTGCACAGATCACAACATGTTTCTGGCTAGCACTAACCTTCGGCACAGTCTTCGCCGATGTGCCACCTGGCGTCCTCCTTCTGCATCTCAAGCCTAGACTCAGATTGATAACATCGCAATCAGCTACCGCTGGCGTGGTTGTGTACAAGACTGCCACTCCTTTTGGAGTGCCTATCTGGACTTTGATCATGCCCTGGTCTGCGCCAATCTCACCTTACTTTTCAGTGGACAACGAAGTGACCGCCACCAAATGATTGATGTCAGCAAGTTGGTTGCAACTTCTGTTCCACGTAAGTATCGAATCGAGCTAGCTTCTAGGCTAGCTACCATTCGACCGAGAAGTATAGATGAGCATTGGCTGCAATTGCATGACGCCATGAAAATGACGAGTAAGGTCACTTTTGGGTTCGCGAAACGTCCCGCTTATAAGCACTGGGTTTCTTCTGGTTCCTTAAAACTCATTGAAGCCCGTCGGTCTACTCCGGGTGATCGTGAGTTTGACCACAAACGAAGGATGTTACGTAATGAAATTGGGCAAAGCTTGCGTAAGGACCGAGAAGCCTGGTGGTCGGAGTGTGCTAATGAGTCTGAAGCAGCAGCTGCATCTGGTAACTACCGAAAGCTCTTCCAACTCATCCGAGTCACTGGCAGCAAGAAGTCTGGTGTGAGTGAAACAATCTGCGAGGATGACGGGATGCCAATCACCAACATCCATCGACGTCTTGGACGATGGGCAGAATTATTCGAAGGGCACTTCAACTGGCCTGCTGCTCCGGCAACATCATTCAAACTGTCCTGCTCTCCTTGGCCGGTGCCGACTGATCCATCAAGTGAGGCGGAAGTCCACAAAGGAACTCCAACTCTTGAAACGCTACAAATCACCGGGTCCAGATGACTTACCTCCTTCTCTTTTTAAAGATGGTGGTGACTTTCTGACTAAGGAACTGACGACGCTGTTTATAAAGGTCTGGGAGCTAGAGAATGTACAAACGTCATGAAATGAGTCGATAGTTGTGTGTTCTGGCACAGAGACAATGATGCAATTGGTGTCACCACCTTGAAACATCGACTTCGGTGGCTTGGATATGTTCTACGAATGTCGTCCCAGAGGATTCCACGTCGTGCATTATTTGCGGACGCTGGGACTAGTTGGAAAAAGCGGAGGTGGTCAGTTTATGGCATGGTGTCGTGCTATGAAAGAAAACTGCAAAGGACTGGCTTCTGTTGGTCCTTCACGACTCCCTGGTTGGGGTCCGAGAGATGGTGCAACACAGTGGCTAGAGACGGTATCAGATATGGCTCAGAATAGAAGCCAGTGACGATCCTGCTGCAACCTTCTTCTACTTTCTTCATAAAAAAAGCGGTTGTATCTTCCCTAACTGAAGGAATTCTTTCTGGTTGTACCTTTCCGTTTCCCCCATTATTACCATTATTATTATTATTATTATTATTATTATTATTATTATTATTATTATTACTATTATCATTACTATTATTACACCACCTTACACTAATCTATTCGTTATCGCTTTTTTTCTTTCTCTTCGAATTCCCATTGTTTTGGGTGGCGCATATATTTTTTGCCCTCTTGTACCAATATTTATGTGTTCAAATAAAATAAATAAATTATTGAGTAAAACATTAGTACACCATTTACAATAAATAACTACGATATGATAGTGAAAATTAGTGAACAATGAAAGCAGAAAAACAGGAAAGTCATTAACAAAAATTAGTTCATAATGGTTAAACTCAAAAACGATCAAGATTTTTTTTAATTATTGGAAAGATTAGTAAATTAGTCCAAACGGTTGTCTAGCATTACCTGCAACCTTATGAATCTCACTAGCTTTCTTCACTCACCGATGTTTACTACCATTACGTAAACATGTTTGTAGCCCTATGAAGTGAGATTTAAACTATGCATTAATTTGAAGAAACAAAGCCGTTGACCTCCTGTAGCTTTTTCTAACCTATTGGTATGGGTTCCTAATACGTTACTTCGTTTTTACAACGAGCCTTACATTAAAGACGAAATATCAGAAAACAATTAAAGGACCTAATAGTGTCAGGACTAGCTTAGGCACTGTCAAACGTGAGTGAATAGCTGACAAACCACAACCACACACTATTTATAAGGTTATATTTGTTGAGTTGTTTAGAAAGTTAACTGAGTAATAAGAAATTATTTTATGGAGTGTTGTGGTGGTAGTGACTGAAACGTTAGACTTTTAGACGCTAGTCAACATGCTCGAAAACCGCCCCACCTACCAGGGATTCGGCAACCACATAGTATCAGCAGCTGCAATACACTATCTAAAAATAAGTACACAAAAACCTACCCAGGTATAAATTAACAATGATAACCTGGACCATAGGGAGCAAAAACACAGCACAAGAGAAAGCTCAGGTTTTGAGCAACTGATTAATTCCGCAAGAGATTTTTACCATCAATTTCTTTCAAACCATTGATTATCGTGTATTTTAGTGGTACAACCTAGCTTTTGAATTCCTACTATATTTACACGAGTCACGGTACTTCACGTTGACAGTACTTTCGATCAGATGTTGCGATTAGGCCTGAGTTTACGAACTTAAAAAACCACCCCAATTATGTTTATTAAGATAGCAGAATGGTTGAGCTAACATATTCTGTCACATTTCGTTCGCAATCATATTTAAGCATATTTGTAAAGGTTGGTATTTAGCAATTTAATGAACTCTGACGAGTTCAAAATTCATAAAAGATCAATTTCTGTGCATAATTCGAGCTTGCTATTGCATTTTTTAATTCTTGCCGGTTGATGAATACTTACGATAGCAAATGTTTCACAAATTTATTTATGAGCTGTTACCTGATTCCAATAAAAAGCGAGAATTGACAGGACTTACCTCATCACATAAACGAACCATGTTCCTTGTTGAATCAAGAGTCTATTATGTTATTGATAAGTTATGTAACAACAATACCTCATCGGTCTTGGCATTCATCTGCATTCTCAGCAGTTCCAACTCACTCATTGGTTGTCGTGTCGCAGGATTATCCTATCCATTATATTTTATTCCATTGCATAAAATCATTACAGCGACTCACCATTTCTACACGTCTTGTACAGAAGACACGTCTAGGTGTAACGGTGGAACACAAACATTGCGCTGAGCTTCAATATACTCAATACCAAATATCTTTGAGGTGAGCTGGCGTAAGCCTATTTATTTCTTCACTCTCGCTTCTTGCTGTTACAGCACAGTTTCAGGGTTAGTGTGAGTCTAGTTACTTGACTTCACTAATTCTAGTTATTTGGTCGTCATTTGTGTATATGAATATGTTGTACTTTGAGTGAGTTTCAAATGGTTCAAATGTTTGTGGACGGAATAGAAGAAGCTTTCGCTTTACGGGCTTCCGTGTTTAGTAGCAGTGGATCATCTATACCTACAGGCAGAAACCTCATCACATTAACGATAATGGAGAAAAAAGAATGGGTAAATCATAATGGGATGTTATCCTTAGTCCATTAGAATAGGTCAAGTTTCCTCTCAAAGGACTCCTGGGAAGTCGCATGGACTAGTCCATTCGGCAGCGAATTCCAGCATTTAACAACTCTTAGGGAGTAGGAGTTGTGTCTACAGTCCATTCTGCTATGTTGTATCTCCAATTTCTGTGTGTTACCCCTTAGGTTTGTATTGAGACTAAGCTTAAGTAGGAGTTTAATGGTATGTCCAGAAGTGTTAAGAAGACTGTAAGCCAACGTCAAATCTTCATACTTCTTAAACCAAGAATTAAAAGTTACACCTGGTACATCATCAAAATTAAATTCATGGATGGTATTAATGACTAAATCAGTATGGAATAATTGTAATTCACCAGAAGCAGGGTACCAACAAGTACCAAAAAATTATAAAGAACTTCCCGTCAAAATACCAAACAAAGGTGATCTCAGCAACTGTGATAACTACAGGGGAATCACTCTTCTCTCAATATCGCGAAAAGTCTTCAATAGAGTATTGTTAAACAAAATGAAGGACTCAGTAGGCGCCCTTACTTCGAGACTAACAGGCAGGATTCCGTAAGGATAGATCGTGTACAGACCGAATCACCACTCCACAGATCATTGTGGAACAATCAATTGAATGGAATTCATCACTCTACATCAACTTCAGTGACTTCGAAAAAGCACTTGATAGCGTGGACAGAATAACACTATGGAAGCTTCTTCGATACTACGGCATGCCTCAGAAGATACTCAATATCATACGGAATTCCTTCGATGAATTACACTGAAAAATCTTTCATGGAGGACAACTGACAGGCTCGTTTGAAGTTGTAAGACCTGTTTTGAATGTTTTGTGTGTGTGAAAATCCCTCCATGTATATACTTGCACTTTGTCCCTATTGATCCCCTTAGTTGTACATTGATAGTTTTTTGATGACATTTGAATTGCTAATAATTGTATTTTTTATCATAGTTTTCGTTTTTCTCACGACTTCACTAAGTTTTGTGTTTCTTCCCGAACTGCATCGATGTTGTTATACTTGACACTTGTTCTTGGCGGCGGCCATATTGATTTGCTCCTCCTTTTGTGTGTGTTCTATCCAGTCAGGATAGAATAGCGTCCCGATTACTTGTTTTGATTTTGGTGAACCAGGGCGCGTGTCTAACGTACCTAGGAGGCTATTCAGCAGTTCAAACCGTAGTTTGGATTCTACAAAGTAAAAACAGAATCGGTAAAGCAAGAGTAGTGTATTTACAACTGAAGGACATCTGGAACTCAAAACAATTGTCAACCAACACCAAGGTCAGAATTTCCAATACAAATGTCAAGACAGTTCTACTGTATAGGGCGGAAACCTGGAGAACCACGAAAGCCATCATACACAAGATACAAGTGTTTATTAACAGTTGTCTACGCAAAATACTTCAAATCCGTTGGCCAGACACTATCAGTAACGACCTACTTGGGATAGAACAAACCATATTTTAGCGGAGGAAGAAATCAATGAGAAGTACTGGAAGTGGACAGGACACATTAAGGAAAGCAGGCAACTGCCTCACAAGGCAAGCCGTCACACGGAATCCTTAAAGTCCAAGGAAAAGTGAAGATTAAAGAACACGCTACGACGAGAAATGGAAACAGACATGAGAAGAATGAACAACAATTGAATGGAACTAGAAAAGAAGACCCAGGACAGAGTGGGTTGGAGAATGCTGGTCGGCGGCCTATGCTCCATTGGGAATAACAGGCATTAGTAAGTAAGGAAGTAAGAAGCAGGGTTTTGCTGAAACAGGCACAATTTCTTCATAAAAACGCCCATGTCTCTGATTTGAGACTGTTCAAACCTCTTCTCTCGACGCCTCATATATGCTTCTAGTTGCTCCAAATAAATATTCATTGTAGTTTTACCGTCCCACTGATAGGTCATGCTAAATGAACGCTATATTCGATTACCAAGCTAGAACTACACAGCGTCCTGAACACGAGAAAAAAGGCGCAAAATATGTATGATACACTTTACTCCGAAGGTTCATTTATGTACAGTAAATATAAGGTTTTTATGGTATTTTAGATGTTTTTGGGTTACCCAAAAATTCAGGAATGCTACTAAAGCAGTGCAGTAATCATCTAGTCAGAAACTGGAAATATGTTCCCACTTTCTTCATGTTTCTGGCTAAACTTCTAGCGAACGCTCATTGGATCAGATGCTTCTCACTGTTTCCCGAGCCTTTCTTGTCTTTTGCGAAAAGTTTTCTCGATCACCTCAACAGTCTGTAGATCATCAAAGTAGATGACCTATGTCAAATGATTGGAGGCATACTCGAGTTAGACGGTAACCGGCTAACGTCGAAGTCACAGCTCGTGGTCAGCAGCTTACGTGGACTACCTTATTGACCTGTCAAGGTACCATAGATGCTTTGAAGACTGTACAACACCAAGGACGTTATTACAGAAATATATTGGCCAAAGTAGAGGAAAGCGAATGTAAGACCACTGCTGTATGCGCCAGTCCATGACGTACGATTTACTGATAAGCGGTGGTTGTCCTTGACCTAGGCGGGAATCGATTATTTGTTCGATATTCAATGACCCCATTGCCGGATGATATGGTTAGGGCTCCGTGGAATTTCACTGGCCCTACAAATCTTTTAATTTCTCAAAATAAACTTTTAGGTTTTTTGAGATAACTCCCTTTTTAAACTTTGATTAGTTAGCCCAGCAGTCAACTGACCGCTTAGTCGAGTTTCCTGTTGCTCCTCAGTGTTCCACTCTGTGTTTAGTTTCATTAGTTAAAATATTAGATTTCTTACTTTCTGATCGTTTTTTTGATCATTTTATACAACTTCGATCTTTCTCTTTATTCAAAGCCAGCTCACCGAACAATGGATAAGTGGTAATTCTTTGAGACATTCGTGCCATAATGAAATCGGTTTCCCTGGAAAAACCAGATTCTTTAACAGGTTATAAGCTCCTCTGCTAATAAACACCAGAAAAGAAGCTGTGAATTTATCATCTTTAATGTCTTTCGTAGTCATGCACCAGATTTCGAACCGCCCCTTGTAGAATTCAAAGTCATCCTCGCTTTAATTAATGTCTTAGTGTCCAAGATTTGACTCCATCACGACACCGGTATGGTAACTAGAATTATTCCAACTAAGAACTCTCAATATAGTGCAATCAAACCAGGTAAAATTAGATGAGCACAATTGGATGCATTATATTCAGAATAATAAGCCCTCAATCAAATACAACGTAATCATCAGTTAGTACAAATACTCTAATCTGAAATTACAACTAAACTTTATCTAGTTTCCTCGTTAAATTTGCTCTCCTTTTCAAACCAGACCAAGTAGCAAAACCACAATTTATGGACAGACTAATGAAATCGAGGATATCAGGTCTTGTATTGTGACTCGAAATACAATATTGTTGAACAGCATTTCGCTATCACAGTTGGTGTCACTTCATGATGAAAACACCAAATCTAATTTCTTATCCCGAACTCACACTCTAAATCCAAACCTTAATTCCACTCCCGAATTTATGGTTCTCGTTCGACTTTAGTAAGTGAGTAGTCTCAAGGTCACAAATATCAGCTCATAGCCTTACCAAGTGAACAACATGGTTGGGTAATGACCAGTTCTATATAAAGTTATAGATTCAAATGCACATTGTTACCTACATAAATATTACCCCCCGGTTATTCAGTCATTAATTATACAATAGACTCAAATAATCAAATAGAAATTCATTAAGTAGATAAAAGAGATAAGGGACATAAGAAATAAAGGTTTGTATTAATGCAGGAATGTTATTCCATCCTTTTTGGATAGATCACATACAGTTTGTTCAAATTGTAATACATAACTCTATAAAAGTATCAGTAAGAAAAGTATTAAGGATTGTATGTTTCATTACATGCCACAACAATAAGTCTCTCCAGTTCTAGAAGTGTTTCAGTTCACTACAAAACATTGCACAATTCCAGACACCTCAAGTAATACAATCATAGAACAGAAAATGAATCAAGTAAAACAACGTAGATGTAGTTCATGAGAACCATTGAAATTTTGTGTAAGCATGTGGTGACCTACTTCTATCAACTGAACGTGATTGATTTAATGGAAAACAATTGTACCAGGGATTGTTTTGCTGCACTTGTTTGTTTAACTGTACTAAAGACATTCTTCCTTCCGTTGATTGTGACCTTTCACCAATCCGGTTGTGCTCAGTAACCACACTTGTACTCCTTTGGCACGACCTCGGTATTCTTTCGATACCACGAGATCGTCAAAAAATACATCTCAACCACAGCCACTAACTGCCCTCTGATATATGGCTTACGGGGGGTGTTATCGGTTGACTGGCACAAAGTCTTCTTTTAGTGGTGATCATAGTCAACCGCGACTCGACGTTTCACAGATTGAAATCATGAGTCAATTGAAGCTAAAATCTCCACAAAACTCATTCTGATAATAATCAACTCACTAGTGACTGACTTCTGGAGAACCTCCTGGAGTTCTAATGAGAAGCCATCACCAGTGGAGTTCAACCAGGTCTGTTGTGAGATATCAACTCAGTGAAGACAATGGTGTTCGGTGGCGCGACTTCGTGGATTGGTTGGAGTTAGACATTAACACTGTTGGATGCCGGCTCAGTAGTCAAATGGTTAAGTGCTCGCGCGCGAAGCCAGTAGGTCCTGGGTTCGAGTCCCATGGGGGCGGGTTCGTGGATGCGCAGTGCTGAGGAGTCCCATACTAGGACGAAACGACCGTCCACTGTTTTCAGGTTTTCCATGGTGATCTAGCTTCAAATGACTCATGACTTCAATCTGTGAAAAAAAGATAACTTGTTGAAATATCTAGATGACAAGAACAAGTAGATCAGATGTTCAAGTATTTACAATTCCGTGATTTTGATTATGTAACCTAGTTAGAAGAATATTGTCTATTTGCCCATATGTTTTAATAAAATGTGTCAATGAATCCTCGTTAAATATGTTCAGTTTTAATTTTTTCAAACGTTCCTATTTCTTCAACTAACCAACACAGTTTTCAGTTTTAGTTAAACTACCTTTATAAGTTAGAAATAATCCTATATTCCTAAACCATTTAAGAATTAATCAAATGAATATGAGTCCATGGTGTAACTATAATTAATGGACGACCTTTGAGCGACAATAAAGTAACCTTGAAAACATCCACCTATTAACTAGGACTAAATGTGGTTCATAAACCAGTTGTAAGGAATTAGAATCATGATTTACTGTGAATAGTTAGGGTTAGGAATTAGATTTAGGGTTTTCATCACGAACTGACATCATTTATAATGCTGAAACCCAAAAAGTACTGTTTTGAGACTGGAGACAACAGTCAATTGCTCATAAAAACATAATTTACAGCACAAAAAACCTTTCTTCAGTAACGTTACTCACTAATAGTCTATTTGAAAAAAATCAACAATGTGATTAAACTTATTGTGACTTAGGATATCATTCCAGCAATCGATGACCGTACAGCATAACGCAGTCGGACGTGGCGAATAAAAATTACAAGCACAGCAAAATTCACAGTATAATCTAGTTCTTTAATAAATAAAAAATACATTATAACATGGCAAGTTCTGTGACTACATGAACGTAGATATGACCGTTATTATATTAAGTGATACATTAAGTTTGCGTGGAAACGTTGCATTTAAATTCACCCTTTTTAACTAAATGGATAAATGAATTTTGTGCCAAAATTCAAGATTCATTATCTTGTATCTGATTGTTTCATTTATAAATTATAGTCTCGCCGAGTCCACAATCTAGTTTGAATGAATTCTAATATAAAAATGCGGAAATTTATTGTGTTTTTTTCACCCTAAAAAAATGAAAATTTGTCTCTCCATAAACTGGATCGACTAAATTTATTGTTTCCTCAAATTTCAAACTACCTCGTTTATTTTTGTTTTATTGCGTGGGCAACATTTTATTTGTATAGTTATGATAGCTAGACATGTTCAACAATAAATAACATTTGAGTATGTCTATATAAAATAGGTCTGTAACACATATTCCATTTGAGTAATAAAAATATTTTGTTTACTGAATGAACTTCATTGTTTTATTTGTCTTTAATAGTCCAGTAGTAAATTTATATGAACTGATTAAATCTGCCCAAAGTAAATCATCAAATCGAAATTTTCTAATTCTATTGTCATCTTAAATCATACGACTAGTTAGTCTTAATGATATAGATATGATGAAGTTGAGAGAAACTGTATAACTATGCCGCCCTAATGTGGGACTTTACTACAGTATACACCTACATCTTTATAGGTGGTTGAACCTAAAACATTCAGGTCTAATGAAGACTACCATAACTTTAGACCATTAAGATAGAACTCTATAAAATACATTTTATTTATATCCACTGGGAATATAGGTAGCATGAACCCTTGGAATCTGTCTTATTGGTCTGAAGGTATTTAGCTCTTCACAATAATTTAAGGTTCTAGGTTCGATCTCAGGCAAGGTCGTTAGTCTCTCTTTGGAATAGTGTCAAACTACGATCAAACAGTTGTCCAGTGCTTTCATTTGCTCCATAGTTCTCTAGTTGGTATCAGTCTATGATTTTAAAAAAACTTCAGAATCAATTATCTCGTCAAAACTCCCACCTTAACATACAAATTGTAATAGCTTGGTAAACATTCATGTACTAAGGAATGAACCATAGCCAACGGCGATATCCATAAACAATTTATTTCAAGTGAAGCAGATATCGAACGACGAGTCCATAAGCTGAAATTCTAGTCTTATCATTACCTAAATTCAGAAATTCTGTACAAGTTCATTTATTTAGCTTTATTGATGCCAGGCATATTAGTGATATTCCACAGTCCTTCGAAATTATCAGCATTTAAAAAGACGTCGTAATTCTCCGGTTTGTCAAAAAGGTAGCAATAAAGAAACTCAAATCTGATTAATGTATCCAGAAAGAGATAGTAATCAACTTATCACTAATTTGGCTAATTAGTTTTGTTTTTGTCATTACTATGATTCTTTTATTGGTGTTCATTATGTTATGTGGTCTTCACCAAACTAGTTCTTATTTAACATACACCAAAATCATCCCTTCAATCATAGATCTTTTTTTATTTCATTCACTTAATTCCCCAAACTTATGGAAACTCTTCAAAAATCCTGTTTATTTATTACGCAAATCATATTATCAAATTCTCAATCTAGACAACTACGGGAGACAGATAGGTCCTGGGTTCGAATCTCACGAGGCGGGATCGTGGATGCGCATTGCTGTGGAGTCCCATACAAGGATGAAATAGCCGTCTGGTGCTTCCAGGTTTTGCATAGTGGTCTAGCTTCAACTGACTTATGATCTCAACCATTAAAAAATATACGTTAATAGATAGGTGAGACTTTTGTTAAATTTATTAATCATTCTTAAACAAAATCATCTGTGTCATAGTGATATAATGTGTGAATAAATTCAATGATTAAATAGATACTTTATTGATATAGAGTAATGATCACATTGTTGAGCTCAATCTAACAGAATTACCGTCCACTGTACAATATTTATATCACACGTTACAAGTATAGATATTAAGTGAATAACGATAAAGCTTATTATTATTATTATTATTATTATTATTATTATTATTATTATTATTATTATTATTATTATTATTATTATTATTGCTAAATACTCCACTACTTAAAAGTCTTTTAGTTTGTCCTGATTTATCTTGTTCAGTATGTTCAGAATTATTACAAATGATTTTGACATAGCTCATTTATTTTATTTTAGTGATTGTTTTGCTTACACAATGATATGATTTGTTTGATTAGTCTAAACTAATGTTGAATACTTACAGTATCGATCTGGCTTGTTTCTCAAACATGTAATATCACAGTTAACAGTTACTCTATTGTTGTTTTAATTTTAATTTTATTCATACGATTGTATTTCATATAGTCTTGGAAACTTACAAATTAATCTAAAAGTATCATTTGAAATGAATATCATTTGATTCTATTCAAGTACTCAGTCATGTTTACACATATTTCTATTTTAATCTTTATTTTCACGTTGAAATAATTAAAATCCTCCAATCGATAACGTACCTCCGCCGTGGTACGGTCGAGATTGGAGAGTGTCAGCTCTCTCTCTCCAATTGCTCTCACATGACGAAAAATGAATGTCCGGAACATTAACCAGGTTGGCGGACACGGAGAGTCTACCTAGGGGAGTTGGAAAACCCTGATTCAAAACCAATGATGCACATGGGCTACAGTATCCACAAGGAGCAAATGGCGTATGAATCTGTTGTTGGTGACCGACTACCATGGGACTGCATCTCCTGTCGTTGCTCCACTGCCTTATGGATCAGACCTTGAGGTCGGAGGCTCGAGTTGTGGTCCCCTAATGAAACCACCTGATTCAGTTTGAGCGCCCGGACAATATCCCAACCCTCCCACAACTTGAATGATTTATGTGGTGCATATCTATTTGGTGCCTCCTTGTACCAATGTTTGTGTATTTAAATAAATAAATAAAACGAAAGATCTAGGATACACCCCTAATTTACAGTTTACATAAAAAGTTCACTATGTATATACATACATGATGTTGCAAAATGAATCTTTGTCCATTATGTTTTATAATAAGAGTTTAATATTCTATAGCTTGTAGTGTGGCGTCGAGTCGCGGTTGACTATGATCACCACTACACGAAGGCTATGTTCCAGTTAACCGATAAGACCTCCTGTAGACCAAATATCAGAAGGCAGTTAGTGGCTGTAGTCGAGATGTATTTATTGGCGATCTCGTGGTACCGGAAGAATACCGAGATCTTGCCAAAGAAGTACGAGTGTGGTTACTGAGCACAACCGGATTCGTGAAAGGTCACAATCAACGGAAGGAAAAATGTCTTTAGTACAGTTAAACAAACAAGTACAGTAATACAATCCCTGGTACAACTGGTTATAATTATTATTATTTCAATTACACCAATCGCGTTCTGTTGATAAAAGTGGGTCACTACAAGCTAATCACAGTTCAATGGTTAATGCTTTAAAGCTATAGTTGGATTATGTATATAATTTGGAGAATTGAAAAATGGTGGAAAACAATTCATATGCCATTTGTTTTCTTTCGAATTTTGAATGTCTTTTTAACCTCTTGACTTTCCAGCTCCAGTTATCCATCAATATTGTTGATATCATTATAGTTTTGATTGGTTTATAATTGTATATCAGGGATTGATTCTAATTAGATAATCATTGAAAGCCACAAAAGACTTAGTAGCTGTTCCATCCTGATATGGGACTCGTTAATAAAATACACTCACAACCCATATCAGCAGAGGTTGAGCCTTAGACATTTAGGTTTTATAGTAACCGTCATCATTGGTGCCCGACGGTACTAGATACCATTGGTTACAATTTTGCATTGAAAATTAGGGAATGCGTCCTATTTCTGGTCACTGGTGAAAGTATTATTATTATCAGAATAGAGTTCGTGGACACATTTCTGTGTTGGTAATGATGATTCCGTCAATTTCTACTTAACATATTACGTTCAACATCACAAGTTGAAATCACCACATGAATGTAACAGGTGTTATTTTAACACAGTTCACGAGTCCCTTATATCACATATGTTGCAAACTTGCAGAATGCCACAAAGATATATTGGTCACGTACAGTATTGTCTTTCAACAAATTTACATGAGCATAAAGTTCTAGGAAAGAGAGAGAAAGGGTGAGAAATACAAACGAATCTTGCATTAAGATACTAATTTTATTATAAAACTGACACCCAATAATCAACGATACATACTTACACTTACACTAGCACACATACATAGAAACACACTTATAATCACTGAAAGACAACATCTGAGAGATTAGTTTCTAATCTGTTTGTTTGTTTATCTATTTATGAAATGATTAAAAGACAGATATAATATATAAAGAATAATCTTTTCCATAAATTCTCTTCAGAAACATGTATTTCACCTAAAACCTGACCCTTTTTGGGGATTATTCATGCAGATATAGAATTGTAGAATTTGAAGAGAATTTATTAAAAAAATATTCTTCATTCATGTGAATCTTTTAAATATTAATAGTTGAGATCATGAGTCAACTGAAAGTCGACAACCACCATGGAAAACCTGGAAGCACTTAACGGCCGTTTCGTCCTAGTGTGTGTCTCCTCAGCGGTGCTTATCCACGATCCCGTCTCGCGAGATTTGCAACCAGGATTTATCAGTCTCGCGCGTGAGCGATTAACCACTAGACCACTGAGCTGGTCGACATCCAACGGTATTAATGTCTAACTTCAACTAATTCATGAAATCGAGCGACACATCCACCATTATCATCGGTGAGTTACTATCTCACAACAGACCTGGTTGAACTCCACTGGTCACTGCCTCTCAGTAGAACTTCAGGAAATACCTCTTGAAACCAGTCAGTAGTGAGTATGTTAATTAATATCAGAGGGGGTTTTGTGGATGTAATAATTTTAATAGTTGAGATCATGAGTCAATCGAAGCTAGACCACCTGGGTTCAAGTGTCGCGAGGCGGGATCGTGAATGCGCACTGCTGAGGAGTCCCACAATAGGACGAAACGGCCATCCAGTGCTTCTAGGTTTTCCATGGTAGTGGTCTAGTTTTAATTGACTCATGATCTCAACTATTAAAATTACTACAATATCCACAAAATCCCTTGTGACCTTTTAAATATGATAGGAATTTTCAAATGACTGACATTAATAAATCTGCTTTATTCAATTCTGAAAAGGAGAAATGAATAAGAAGTCACAAAGTTGATACATGACAAACAAGAATAAAGATGATAATCACATACATGAATGGTGATGAAACCATTTACAAACAATTTTCGAAAGACATAACAAATAATAATAATAATAGTAAAATACATATTACATCTTGTGAATGGAATAGTAAATTGATAGATAGATGGACAGACAGACAAACAGATAGATAGACAGACAGACAATCAGTCACAAAAACTATGACATATGTAATTAATGATGTAATGTGTATATTTCTTTGTTGCATTACTCTTAAAAAAGTAGGAAAGGCAATAGTTACTAATACAATTGTAATCATGATAATGTACTTCTGTACTTTTTTTCTCTAAAGAAAGGATTATTTTACAACAGTTAAGATGATATAGACTGATTTCATTATATAATTGAATATGAGTGCTATCAAATATGTATGTCATAAAATAGACAACATTGATGATACAACGTTTCGAAATAAAATAAGGTGAGTAGAATCAGATGACTTTGCTTATTCCCATGTTTCCATGGGTTTCTATGTTTATTTAATTATCTTCTTTTTCAAGCATTAAATCGCTTAGTTTCATGTTGTTTCTTGACTATACCTAATTTTGGTGCAATATTTATAGTAGAATCAGATAGATGAGCATAAGGTGGTTGTTGTGTACCATGAACAACAAGTATCCATTCAGTTAATATTGCATAACCTAATGGATCTTTAGAATTTGAATCTAATCCAATTGTAAGTAACCATTTTCCACGAGGATTTTCACTCCACATATGTGTAGTCATAAATGGCCATTTAGTAAAACCTCTTGTATTATCAGCATCTTTTGGTCGACGTCTTAATAGCATTGATGTAGTATTCATTGGTGACGTAAGGAATAAAGTTATATCACCACGACGTGTTGCTTTAATTGTTATAAAAGCTTGAACATGTTCCAAATAATTAACCTATTATTATAGAATAAAGTAGATAAGAAAAAAAGTGAAGAAAATTATCTAAACTTAAGCAGAAAATAACTAAATGATTATCTTAAGGAGTTTTAGGGAAATGATGATTTTCTAAAAGCATATCATCATTGAAAAGTGTTGTGAAATCGAATCTTTGGTAAGACTATAATTTATGGACGAAACAATCAGATATAAGATAACAGGTCTCGGGTTTTCGGTGCAAAATTCATTCATTTATTTGGCTAAATAACGTTTTGGCATTTTAGTTAATATCAGTTCGTAATGAAAACTCTAAATCTAATTCGTAATCTTAACCATCAAATGTAAATCACAATCCTTATTCTTCAAACTGTATTATAACGTTCATTTGGTTCTAGTTATCAGTTGGGCACTCTCATGGTCGGTCAGACTTACTTACTTACTTATGCCGCTTCTTCAGGGTGGATAAACAAAAGAAATAAAACCAACACTAATTTAAACGGTACAAAGGATTATTTCCTTTTCTACTCATTGAGAGATAAGAACCGAACAGCTCTGAGGTCTAGAGATTAAGTGTTTGCACGTCGAACTGACAGATCCTGGGTTCGAATCTCGCGAGGCGGGATAGTGGGCGCTCAGTACTGAGGGATCCCACAATGCGACGAAACGGCCATTCAGTGCTTCCAGGTTTTCCATGGTGGTAATCTAGTTTCAATTGACTCATGATCCCAACCATCGGAAAAATTAATGCCTGAACAGTTTCAAATTAACTGTTATGATGAGGTCATCTCAGCCAAAAAGCTGAAACTAAACCGATGTATTTTTAGAAGGACATAGTTGTAAATCTTTTATTTATCCTGTTAAGTTATATTTTTAATTACTGAATTATGCAACTTTCTACTATACATATTCAATAACAAATCCTTTTCTTTCATCCTTGGGTCGTTTTTTTAGTTTTACTCATTTTACTCTCTTAATGTTTCAAATTTTTCTGGTTGGCGTTTTCTAGCGAGTCAGATTTTTACGGGCTGGGGTCACTAAC